CCCCAAAACCCCAAAACCCCAAAACCCCAAAACCCCAAAACCCCTTTAAATCAGAGGTCCCAGAAATATAAATAAATTAATATTAGTGGCTATTTCATAAAGCATGGAATCAAAGGAAACTGATCGAATACCAGACCAGGCCAAAACTTCTGGGCCTGTAGAAGACAGTAAAACTACTGCGAAATTTGACAAAAAGCACAACCAGAAAATGAGAGTCCCTAAAGCTGAAAGAAAATTCAGGAAGGCTAAGCAAGAAGAGGAGGAAGAGAAGAAAGTAGAGGCTGATACTCCTCTCAATCTTGCTGATCTTGAAGCTCTCAAGCATAAGGATGAGAAGAAGAAGGGACAGAAGCTAAGCTCTATTCTGAGAGATGACGAGATAAGTGAAGAGCTTATTAATAGCCTCTCTGAAGATGACAAGAGAGGGGAGAACGATGTTAGAGTTGCAATCATTGGAAATGTAGATTCAGGAAAAAGTACACTTGTCGGTGTCCTTTCAAAGGGAGAACTTGATGATGGAAGAGGAGCAGCTAGACAAAATGTGTTTAATTTCACTCATGAAGCTGAGAACGGAAGAACCTCAAGTATTGGACAGGAGATCATGGGATTTACTGAGGAAGGAAAATGGGTGGAGCCTGAGAGAGTCAAAGCAACTAAAAATCAATCCTGGAGCTTTGTAACATCAAACTCTAAAAAGTTAGTTACATTTATCGATTTGTGTGGGCATGAGAAATATCTAAAAACAACTCTGTTTGGACTAGTCGGACTTCTGCCAGATTATTGTTTAATTGTTGTTGGAGCTAATATGGGTGTAAAAAGAATGACCAGAGAGCATCTGGTGATTGCACTTGCTTTGAATATTCCTATAATCGTAGCAATCACTAAAGTTGATATTGCTCCAGAAGAGGTATACGAAAAAACAAAGAAAAAGCTATCTGGGATCTTGCAAACTAAATCAGCTTCAAAGACTCCTATCTTCATTGAAAAGGATGATCCTGACCTTGATAATATTGCTGAGCAGATGTATGATGGAAATGTTGCTCCAATTTTCAGTATCTCAAACGTCACTGGTGAAGGAGTGAGCGAGATGAAATCTTTCATGAGTATGCTCAAATCTAGAATCTACAAGACTGGTAAATTCCGTCCTCCATCAGAGCCAGTAGAGTTTCTCATCGATGGATTCTACATGGTAACAGGTGTTGGAGGAGTAATTGCAGGAACACTTACTTCTGGAACAGTAAACCTCGGTGATACTCTTCTCCTTGGACCTGACAATACAGGAAAGTTCAAAGAAGTTATTGTCAAAGGAATCCATTACAAACGGACGCCAGTTGAGGAATGTGTCTCAGGACAAGTTTGTTGCTTCAATATCAAGCCTGTTGGAAAGAAGGAGCAAATGAAAAGATCTATTTTCAAGAAAGGAATGATATTGATCGGAAAAGATGCTGAGCCTGAAAGTGTCTGGGAGTTTGTAGCAGAAATAACAATTCTCCATAATCCAACCACAATTAAGAACAACTACCAAGCCGTCATTCACTGTGGGGTTATCAGACAGGCAGCCAAGATTGTAAGCATGAGTAAGCCTCACCTCATGATGGGAGATAAGGAGTTTGTTCATTTCAGATTCATGTACAGACCTGAATTCTTAAAGGAAGGTGCTGTACTCATGATGAGAGAGGGTAATACAAAGGGGCTTGGAACTATTTGTTCTATTGTCAGACCATCAGCTGACAAGAAGAAGTAATTAAATTATTTAAATTACTGCATATTTATATCAACTCTTTTGCAAAGCATTGGGGTTTTGGGGTTTTGGGGTTTTGGGGTTTTGGGG